TGCAGGCCGAGGTTCTCACCCTAGGGATTTGATCTGAGGTGATGCTGACACCTATTTGATTTCTGGGTTCCGATCACCTCCTACAGAAGAGGCTGAGCAACGCTTTGGGGAAGGTTCCCCCACCCCAGTCATTTCCCTGGAGGCTCGCATCTTTTATGGAAGAAGCTTGTTTTTCATCCTCTGGGGGGTAAGGGCACCAGGCTCCCATTCTCTGCTCCCCTGGGTAGTAGATGGGGGTTGATGGTGGAGTTGTCACGGCAGCGGGAAAGCTGGGTCCCCCTGAGCCTGGAGTGTGGCAGGAAATGATGACCTTGGCTCTGGCCGAGAAGAATTGCTCCCAAGATTATATCCAAAGGATCAGAATGTGCATGGCTTCTTCCTAAGAGATGTAGAGGTTGGTTCTGTGACTGGGATTTGGGCGCATCCATGTTCCTTCTGGGCCTGGGCATCACTTTGGATCACCTGCGTGGCCGGGCTAGGAGTGTACTGCCACAGAGGGGCTCCCAAGAGCCAGCTCAGTGGTCTCTTCCACATCTTGCACCAATTCAACTGCCACGTTCCTTTAGCTTCCTCCCCACGTCTCCGTTTCCAACTCCACCTGACCCCAGTGCTGCTGTTCTCCAGGCCTCTCACCTCAGAACCTTTGCGCGCCCTACAAAATTTCCCTGGACAATCTAATCAACAGCCGCAGCCTAAACCGTTCCACGAACAACTGGGGTGTGGCTAGGAAGCGAAAGTGTTATGGTGTGAACCTCACAGCAGCTCTGGGGGTTGGAAACAAAATTCTGAGGTTGACTCAACTTGGGACCTCTGTGCCCAACTTGGGAATGTTCTATTAGGGATTCAGGTGACATTCTGTAGTATGTGAAATAATTTCAATTTCCAACTGCTGGTTGCTAGTATTTAGAAATGTATACCTTGTAACCACCTGGCTGGCTCGGTCGGTAGAGCATGTGACTCTTGATCTTGGGTCCTTGGTTTAAGCCCCATGATGGGCATAGAGATTACTTTCAATGTGTGTGACACAAGACGGTTTTACTTCTTCCTTCCCAAATTGGATGTGTCTTATTTCCTTTTTCTGCTTTACTGTACTGAGAACATTCTGTACAATGCTGAATAAAATTGAGAGTGGACACCCTTGTTTTGTTCCTGACCTTGGGGAGAAAGCATTCAGTATTTAAGTATATGTTATACTTAAGTATAATGTTAGCTGTAGCTTTTCTCATAGATGCTCTTTATCAGGTTGAGGAAGCTCCCTTCTATTTCTAGTTCACTTAGTTTTTAATAAGGAAGAGAGGTCAGATTTTGCCTGATGTTTTTTCTGCATTTATTGAGATCATTGTATGGTTTCTCTTTTGTATATCTTTCTTTTCTTTTCTTACTTTCTGTTCCTTCCTTCCTTCCTTCCTTTTCTTTTTCTTTCTTTCTTTCTTTCTTTCTTTCTTTCTTTCTTTCTTTCTTTCTAGTAATCTCTGCACCCAATGGGGGGGCTTGAACTCATGACCCCAAGATCAAGAGTTGCATGCTTTTCTGACTGGGCCAGCCAGGCGCTCCTGTTTTTCTTTCATAGTCTGTTAGTATACTATATGTTATAGATAACATGTTATAGCATATGGACAATGTTATATTTTATTCTGTTAATAATTCTTTTATATTCTGTTTATGGTGAAATAAATTATTTTTTTAATGTTAAAATCAACCTTGCATTCCTGAGATAAATCTCATTTGGTCATAGTGTATTATCATTTTATACATTGTTGAATTTGATTTGCTTACTTAAATTTATTTATTTAAGTAATCTCTACACCCCATGCGGGGCTCAGACTCATGATGTTGAGATCAAGTGTTGCACGTTTTGACTGAGCCAGCCAGGCTCCCCTGCTTTGCTAACTTTTTAAAAGAAATTTCTCATGAGGTTCATGAAATATATTGGTATATAATTTTCTTGTATTGTCTTTTTCAGGTTTTGGTATTAGAATAATGTTGGCCTCATAGAATGAGTTGGGAAGTATTCTGTCTTCAATTTTCTGGAAGAGTCTGTATAAAATTCGTATTCTTTCTTTCTTACATTTGGTAGAATTCACAGGTGAAGCTTGTGAATGTGGGCCTGGAGTTTCCTTGTCCGTTTCATCTAAGTTGGCAAATTTATTGGCATAAGGTGTTTATAATATTCTTTATTATCCTTTTCATATCTGTAGATTCTGTAGTGATGTCACCTTTTTCATTTCTCATATTGGCAACTTTTGTCTCCTTTCTTTTTGTCCTGTTCAGTTTGGCTAGAGATTTATCAGTTTTGTTGATCTTCTTGAACTGGACAGAGATATATCTGGTTCCTGCCTGATCATCCTAAAGTGATACCTGCCAGGCAATCACTCCTGCAGTCACAGATTCCCAATCAGCTTTTTATGATTTCACTCTTAAACATGAACAGTCAAGCATCATCAGACATTTGACGAAGCTACCCATATGCAATTGACAGAGAAAGAGGAAAGGTGATTCTAGAAGACCAGAGGTTATTTGGGAGACAGAAAGGAGCTTTAAAAGTATTCTAAAATCTTAAGAGATTCTGAGATGTACATATTCAACAATATATGTTGCAACCAAAAAGCAAGAATAGGATCCCATTAAAAAAGAATTAGGAAAAGAGCTTTTGGCAAAAAGAATCGGAAAATAAAACAGAAAATCTTCCCAGAAAGTAGAACCAAAATATCCCAGAAAGTGGAACCAAAATATCAAGTGAGAGAAAAGGACCAAGAGACAGTCCAATTCTGAGTCATAATAAAAAGGAGATCCAGAAAGAATAGAGAATATAGAAAAGAAAAATCAAAATTTCTTTGATTTTTGACTGAGTGATGTCATTGGCTTAAAAGGGTTCAGTGAATGCCCAGCACTAGAGATATCAAAAGATCCTTGCTGTGAAAGTTCATTGCACTAGGAACAAGGAATTCTTAAATGCTTCTAAAGTGGAAAAACCAGTCACCTACAAGGGGAGGGGAACTGATTATATAGGCGGCAGAGTTAACAACAATGGTTGCCTTTAAAATTCTGAGGAAAATGTTTTTTAACCTACAGTTTTTAAAAACATTAATTTATTTTGAGAGAGAGGGAGAGACAAAGAGAATCCTGAGCAGGCTCCACACTGTCAGCGCAGAGCCTGATGCGGGGCTCAAACCCACGAACCGTGAAATCATGACCTGGAGTCAAATTCAAGAGTCGATTAACTGAGCCACTCCAAGTGCCCCTAATATATAGTTTTATATCCAGCCAACTTATCATTTCAGACATGGAAGGACTCAGGAAATTTGCTTCCTCTTTTTTTAGGAAGTTATTTGAGAATGTGCTAAAACAAAATACAGGTGTAAAACAAGAGACCTAGGAAGGAAATAGTGTGTCCACCCCAGGAAAGCAGCTAAGTCCTAGGATGTTAACTGTACAGAGGCAAGAAGATGAAGGGTTTGGGGCAGTAGATTTCTGAAATAAAGAAAATCTTATAGAATAGTTGACTAGATGTAGAGGTTGGTAAAAACTAAGACTATGATACACCAAAGAATATAAGCAAAGGCAACTAGAAACTCCAGGAAAAACAAAAAATCGTATGAGAAAGAAAAGGTCATTGTAGTACCTTTCCTTGTTCTGCAGTAAACAGTAGTTATGTAGTCACAATAACGTAAGTCCTGTTTACTAATTTTCAACCCTCAGAAGCAACATATAAATAAAATTTGGAAAACATATTTGTGGCTATAGGGCAGTGTAAATGCTACCAACCTTGATATTGAAAAAGTAAAAATACAGGTTAGAGACACTGGGATGTGAAAGGCAGGGAGGAAAGCTGAAGGGAAAGGTAGGGGCACTAAGAACATCTTACTATGTGTGATATCAAAAGATACTGTCTAAAGTGATAAAAAATAAATATAGGAGTATGTTAAACTTACAGAGGCATCAGCAGATCTAAAAATAATGTTGGGAGGATGGGGCAGGATGCATTAGAGCAGGAAGGTGATAATGTCTAGCACTGATAAACCAAGAAAGAGTCTGGAAGTTTGTAGAAAGATAAGAAGGTAATTAGGCAGAAAAACAGTTCAAATGAAACAACTGTGGGTGCTCTGAGTGAGACCGGGGGTGTGCTATAGGGAATACTTGCTTTTCATCACTGAATAAGCTCTTCAGTACTATTTAATATTATGCACGTGCTAAGGGCCAGGTAGTGTTCTAGGGGATACAGTGATGAACATCCAGTCTCTGCCTTCTGGAGCTTTCAAGTCCGTGGCTTAGACCACAGGAAACCCTCCAATCTCTATTTCTTATTCCCTCTTCTCCTGAGCTCTCAACTCAAATTCCAGTTACCGATTGCACATTTCTCCCTAAGGGGATCTCTCCCTTGTCAGAGCCTTAGACATCTCTTGTCTCCGAAATGTCCCTTGTTTTCTGTTGAGATGACGCTCGGGGCTTACTGCTTCCTGGAGACCTTCAGGACTCCACCCCGTGGCCTCTCTTCCAGTCTCGCTTGGCCTGCCCCTGCAGACCTCTGAGCGCAGGACCTCTTGCTGACCCTTCATTAGAGATGGGCAGAGTGTGTGGGTGGCTCACTTCGATTCTTTGATGCCCCTGCACACAGAGTCTGCAAGGTGGATGGTCAGCAAAAGTCTGTGCGAAGAAATGCATTCCTCATCCCTCTCGCCCTGCCAAACCATGTGGCCTGTCCTCCATTTTTTCACAAGTTGACACCCTGCGTGTCCAGACTCTAGTGTGGCCAACACAGTTCTGCATGCCTGACCCGTCTTCTTTCCCAATCACTCAACTCTTGATAAGCCCCTCTCCCTGATAATCCTTCATACTTTTGCCCAAATTAGAAACCTGGGTTATTTGTGACCCCCTCCCCCCCTCCCTTCCCCAGTTTCTGACCTCCCTACTTCTGACATTGACCTTGTGCAGGTCCCTTTCTCCACCCCCACTGCCTCTCCTCAGCTCCCAACACCAAAGTCAACACAAACCTAGCAATTACTACCCACTGACACTCCATGTTGAGTGCTTCCCGTATGTTCTATCCTCACAGCCACTCTAGGCTCAAGTGGCCGTGACTCTCCTTTCACATATGAGGAAACTGCACAAGCCACACAGCTGTTAAGAGCAGCACCATGACCTGACCCTGGGTCTGACTGGCTCCAAAGCCCACGAGGCCCACCACGGTGTTTTTTGCAATCTCTTTAGGCTTCCAGTTGGACCACTGCAGCCACATTTCCCTCCAGCTCGGGCTTCTTAAAGACCCCAGAGTGAGCCCGCAGCACCACACCTGCCTTCTGTCCCATCCAGACTGCAGAGTGGCTTCAAAGATCCTGTGTCGTCTGACCTCTGCTCTCTTTTGGCATCTCCTGGTATCCAGCCCCAAAGCCCGCTCCCCCAGAGCACAGGAGGCAGGCCCTTTTGTGCCTGAGGGCCTTTGCACAGGCTACTTCAGATACCAAGAAAGTCTCTCTTCTGGAAAAATCCTACTCACTCCTGACAGGCCAACTCACGTCTCCTGAGTCCTCTTCTCTGTGACGCACCTAGCTGTCTAACCCACATTTTAATTTTTAGTGAACTCATCAGACTCAGGGCCTAACACAAGGGCTGAAGGGGGTGCCGTAAATGTCACAGGAGTGATTTAAGGTGTCTGCATCGATTTGTTACTCCACAAGTTTGGGAAAGGGGAAAAGCTCTCTGGTTGTTGGCTCTTGGCACATTTTTTTTTTTTTAATTTTTTTTTCAACATTGACTTATTTTTGGGACAGAGAGAGACAGAGCATGAACGGGGGAGGGGCAGAGAGAGAGGGAGACACAGAACCGGAAACAGGCTCCAGGCTCTGAGCCATCAGCCCAGAGCCTGACGCGGGGCTCGAACTCACGGACCGCGAGATAGTGACCTGGCTGAAGTCGGACGTTTAACCGACTGCGCCACCCAGGCGCCCCTCTTGGCACATTTTTAATGCTGGCCTGTGTCCTCCTGGGAGAGAAGGGCCCAAGAAGGCCCCCATTTCAGTGGAAACCGCTTTGCCCGTTAGTACAGAGAAGAGTGCAAAGGACAAAGGAGGAGCTCAGTATCTGTTGAAGCCCACTGCTTCTCCCTGCAAAGGCTCCAATCATCAGGAACGACTGAAAGGGATTTTAGGGTCATCAGCAGTTTGGGATAATTCGTGAGTTGTTTCCTGGGCACAAGGCCACTCTTGGCGTGTGCCCAGAAACCCCTTCAAGATTCTGCTGAATCTGTGGCCTGTACTCCCAGGTGCTCATGTGAGCCCTGGCGCACAAGCTTGTGCACCGCGCAAGGCCCAGGCCGGGCGTGGTAGTCAGAGGGCGGAGGACTGTTGGCTGGGGTCGACCTTCCTTCTAGGCGGTCCGGGGCTTGGGGGGGGGGGGGGAGGGGCCCCGGGCCGATCAGCCAACAGGCCGGAGCACATGGTGCTTGTCTGGCTGCACACCCCAATCTCTGCTCAAGTATGCCCGTGTCTCCCCAGGCAGGCAAAGGCCATCCAAGTTATCGTCGCCGGCCTTCTGGGACTACAGAGCCAAGCAGTCCTGCATTTTGGAGAGGGCTGGGGCTGGGCGGGGTGGGACAGCTCTTCCTCCGAGGACACCTCCAAGGTCAGCCTTCACTGAGCCGGGAATCCTGGACAGCTGTTCTGTCCGCTGCAGGGATGTCACATGACATCACAGGCCGGGCGCTTCAACCCCCAACCTAAGAGAGCTCACTGAGGTGGAGGGAGGCAGCCAGCAGCCCGCTGGGCAGAGCCTCTGGCCAGCATGGGGTGACAGGTAGTGGCCATGCTGCCGCTGGGCCGGATGAGGGATTTGCATGGCGGGGCGTGGTGGGGGAGGGGGCGGAGCGGATCTCGCCCGGGCTCCTCCCCTGCCCCAAAGCCTGCATTTGTAGAAGGAAGGTCGTGACCCCAGCCAACAGTCCTCAGCCTTCCGGATCACCACGCCTGCCTGGGCTCATGCTGTGCACAGCCCAGCGCCCAGGCTCATGGCCATGAGCACCTGGGAGTGCCAGGCCACAGATTCAGCAGAATCTTTGAGTGGGGTTCTGGGCACTACATATCTTGTGCCCAGGAAACAACCCACCTAATTATCCCAAACTGCTGGATGACCCTAAAATCCCTTCAGTCGTTTCGGAGGATTGGAGTTTTGCAGGGAGAAGCAGTGGCTTCTTCAACAGATACTGAGTTTCCTTCTCTCTGTCTCTGTACTTTTCTTCTGTGTCACTTAACGGGCAAGCGGTTTACTGAATGGGGTCTTCTTGGGCCCTTTCTCTCAGGAGGACAGGCTGTGCAGCATTAAAAATAAAAGGGCGCTTTGGTGGCGTAGTCGGTTAAATGTCCGGCTTGCCAGGTTGCATTATTCATGTCTGTGAGTTCGAGCCTCTGCCAGGCTTTCAAGGAGGGCCTGGGGAGTTTGGAGTTTGCTTGCCTCCTTGTGTCTCTCTTTCTGCCTCTCTCAAGCTTCATGTTTGCCTTTCTTTGGGTCTCTAAAAATAAGTGCCACACAGCAGAGGGCCAGCCAGCAAGAGCTAACAACTAGAGAGCTCTTTTCATCCTGTCCCCTGCTGCTGTCTGCCACCAACCAAACCACCCTAATCCTCAGTCCT